AGATCCTTCAAATGAATCTGTGAAACGAACATATTTGGAAAGTATGTCTCCAGTAAATATACTATTTGTCTCTTTCGAAGTTGAGGCTTTTAAGGGATTACTATTGTAATTATTGGTATTGACTGATCGGTTACTGGGAGTAGGGAGGTCGCAGGAACATTCCAGAAATCTTTATGCAAATGCGTTTGTTGTATTAACGAAATACGTTCTTCTGCTAATAAAGCCTGATCTTTGTTTGTACTCTAAGAGAATTTAAGTTGATTTACACAATTGTTTTTATCATGCAGAATTGCTAATTATCATCTCATACCACCTCCCCTATGTGTGTTCTAATTCGCCATACATTTCGCCATCCTATAATTTCGTTGTTTATATTATACAGCTTATACATCATTGTTTTCTTGTTTTTTTTTTTTGTCAAGATACGTGTTTGCTCAATGCCAAATCTGACCCTCTACTTTATAAATAAAAAGAAAAAAATATTCAAACACTTTTTATTTAAATATTTCGATATGGGTAAAGAATAGGTACTGGTTTAGATTGCTTACTTATCAAACTTCCTCCTATTTGTACAATAAAAATTACACCTATTTAAATAAATTCAATCAGCACATCAAATTTACTTAACATGAGCCATGAGCAACAAATGAAAACTTCTTAAATATATTAACGCACTAAGGAGACATTATTGGCAGTTATTAAAATCATGCACAGCGATCAAAGCAAAAAAAACTTTGTACAATTTTTAGTATCAAAATTTTTTATAAAGAGTTAAATATAAAATATAAATTTATTATTATGGTGTATTGTTACTATAAATTTAGACCTACTAACAGTAAATATTATTCACACGCAAATTTATTTTGATTTAAAATTAGTTTAAATATTGTGTAGTAGTAAATATTACATATGTACCAATTAGAAATGATATAACTACTTATGTTATTATTTATATTGGATCTATACATCTTACCGGCGCTAACATATGAGCATATATTCTAACATCTAAAAATATCTAATCTATAACTTAGTAGCGTAATAACTTGCATTAGAGAATTTTGCAACGGAAAAATATATCAAAAATTTCACAATTTGCTCAAAGTTTCAAAGAATAGAGACCTTGCGTAAATAATATATGATTTTCTCAAAACAAAAAAATAATATCTACTGTTTTTGGTCCTCTAACAGTTAGTATAAAAATGGAAAGACATATTTTTGGAAAATATCCTCAAAGTATAACAATTTTCAACTTTTTTCATATCTCTGCATTCATTTAACAATAAATAAATCTCAAAAAGATTTTATAAACATTAAGATCTGAACTCTAGTAATTACATTACATTTGAAATAGTTACATTAAAATAATATATGCACATGATCGTTTTCAAGCTCGACCACAATTAAAAAATATTCTTGTTTTATTATTAATATCTTTCAATTACAATAATCAAAATAATTTTGTGTTGGTTTATCAAATAAATATATTTTTAGTCTGCGTTTTTTTAATAATATAATGAAACTGTTTCTATAATACCAGACGTAGCAAATATAAAATGATTGGTAATAAAAATGATGTTTCTTTCAATAATATCTACATAATAGTTTACCTTTACAGTTATAAGGACAAGTCTGGAACCTATTCCAGATAAAAATAATTCCGTTTTCATTTGTAAATTTCATAATTGCGGTGAACATTTTTATTGAATTAAAGCTGAAACTTCTGAAATGATCTCTTGAATCCAACCTGTCTTATTCTTATATAAATCTCGTTGAAAACCGTGTTTTTCTTTGTATATGTTTTCCTTTAGTGTATAACCTGTTAAAAAGATCCACGATTTTATTCGCACAGAAAAACACTATTGTTTGCTTATTTTATGTTGATCGAAAATTTTTTTAATTTTAGTTATAGGTTCTAGTTTTTTCACATCTTAATTGAAAGAAAAGTACCAAACGTTCATTTAGTTATTTAACCCATTCACTGCCAAAGACGCTAATTCGCGTGTTCTGTGTTTCATTTGTAACTCCAAGGACGTGAATACGCGTTTTCGGACATTGTAAAGTGTATTGCCTATAATATTGGCAGCGCTGAATATGCAGGTAGGTATAATATTTGGTTGGCGTGGTAGGGTGACCGTTAATTATATTACTAGATGGTTGGTTGTTTGTTTGGGCCAGTTGTCATTTTGATAGAGGGTGAAGTAGATAACTGTTACGTGTTCTAATGGATCGTCCAAGTACATCAAAAGATGCTTATAAAATGGAATATTCGGAAGGAGAAAAAGCAAAAAGGTAAATTTTAAAACCGCTATAAATTTATTAGCTTGATTGATACAGAAATATTTGAGGTTAAGTTCGGTTTTAAATTTTAGGTGGCAATTCAAAAGAAAATATACGCCTGAGGAGGCCATGGAGTTGCTGTTTTCTGGGGAATTAGATTCCGATGAGGAATCTGAAGACGATGAATCAACATCTGATGTGACGGAAAATGAAACGTCTTCAGATGAAGACGTTACGGTTGCTGAAAATCAAAATTCTGATACTTGGCATTAGACAGATAACGAATATTTACAGCAAATAGACTTTACTGGTATGCAAATTCCACTGAATCTTGAGAATGACGAACCGTATTCGTATTTTAATTTATTCGCTACACATGAATTGTACAACCTCCTTCTTACATATACAAACAAATTTGCAGAGGAGATTTTTTTAAGAGGTGTTGCTGAACATTCTAGAATTACTGCATGGAAAGATGTGTCTCTGAATGAATTTAAAGTTTTTTGGGACTATTGTACCACACAGGTACAATAAAGCTGAATAGAATAGAAGATTATTGAAATACCACTTTTCAATATTCCTGTATTTAGAAATTTTATGTCCGGTAATCGATTTCAAACCATTCTGAGAGCAATACATTTTGTAAATAATCCTGTAGGTGGCGAACGCATACCCAGTGACCGTCTGTTTAAAATACGACCTCTTCTTAATTTGTTTAACCAACGCATGGAAGAAATCTACTATCCGGAGAAAAATTTGTCAATCGATGAGTCAATGGTGCGTTCACCAGACTCAATCGCTTAGAAGCTGCTTGCAAGCGGCTTATAATCGATTCTGGTAAACGATGTGCTGATCATGCGCTACCTCCAAGCGGCTGATAAGCGGTCGCCATTTTATTCAGCCTTAAATTTGTTGTGCTTAATCATCGCTGAATGGATGAATAGCTTATTCTAATAGTCGAATTCCGCCCAACATATAAATTTATCAAATAAAAACTGGCAAATTTATTCGAAATAGAATATAAATATAATAACACTATAAAATATAATATATAAATATAATATAAAACATCGTCCCCAAACAAAAATGCTTCAAAATTATTATTTTAGTTAGGTATTGTTATTTATTCTGTGGTTAGGTCACAGAATAAATATAATATAATATAAAATATCGTCCCCAAACAAAAATGCTTCAAGAATATTATCCATCTTAGTTAGGTATTGTTATTTATTCTGTGGTTAGGTTAATAAAAACAAAAACAAAGCAACAAGCACAAGTGTCAAACGTCAGTCGTTCACCAAACTTTAATTCTTAGCATTAACCACTGTGCAATCGGATTGAAAGCGGATTAATCTGGTGAACGCAACCTTGATGCCTTGAAGGGGAAGGCCCATTTTTCAACAATATATAAAAAATAAACGTCACAGGTATGGTATTAAGCTGTATATATTTTGTGCGAGCCTATTGGGATGGTTCAAAAAATATTAATTTACACTGGTGAAAATGATACTGATATTGGTGGAGTAGGACATTCGTCAAAAGTTGTGATGAAATTGTGTGAAAACATATTTCATACGGAACATGCCATTTATGTAGACAATTTTTATACAAGCATTAGTTTAGCACATGACCTGTCACAAAATGGTACATATGTTACCGGTACATTGAGAACAAACAGAAAAAATATTCCGCCTGAAATACTGAACACAAAACTTAAAAAAGGGGAATTGGTCTCAAAATATTCAAATGGAATCAACATTTTAAAATGGAAAGATAAGAGAGACATTTTAATGTTATCAACGGAACATAAGGCCCAACAAATTTTTTTGTGAGAACAAGCGAAAGCAGCAATATGAAAAACCAAGATGTATTGCAGAATACAATACCCCTATGGGTGGTGGTGACATGAAGGATCAGATGTTTTCTTATTACAGTTGCGATCGAAAAGGTATGCGATGGTACCTTAAACTTGGAATACATATTTTCCAAATGATGTTGTTTAATGCATTTAGCCTTTATAATAAAAATCATCATAGAGGAGATAAAATGTCCTTCCACGATTTTAGGCTAAAGGTAATTCAATATTTATTGTCACATAAAGAAAATATAATCGGCGAAACAGCTTCTAAACAACAAAAACAAAGTACTTTCGGCAAAACATAAAAAAACCAAATAAAGATGGAGATTTTCGTTCTATAAGAAGAAAGTGTAAATTGTGTGCCTCCAAAAAAAAAAAAGGACACCATGTACTGCTGCCTGAAATGTGCAGACAAACCAGCTTTGTGCCTCGATTGCTTTCCTGTATTCCACAAGAATTTACAATAACCTTTTTTTTTGCTTCTACTTTTCCTTATACTTTTATGTTAGTTTATGCAATTTAATAGTCCAATACAGCAATATATTAAAGTTAAAAATACACTTTTTTTATTTATTTAGTGTTAATGTTAATAAAGTTAACTTGCTACCAAGTTATAATGATACGCCAAGAACGCGATTTCACGTTTTCAATCCACACGCCAATGACGCGAATTCACGACTCGAGCGTTTCAGTTGAGTAGGCGACCCGGCGCGCTTAAGAGGTTAAACTGACTACTGACAGTGAATGGGTTAATACATCGAATTGAAAAACACTTATTATTGCCTTAATATTTAAAAAATCTTTTTTCGAAACATATATCATAAAAGGCATAAAGCTGATCAATATCCTATTGTACTCAGTACATTCAATCTTCAAGATCTAAATCTAACTCTATATCCACCAAATTCATTTGCTGCAAAGTATTTATTATCATGTATCTGCTGAAATACATATACAAGCGTCTAAACCATTTTAATTGGGACACATGCTTTTTCATTGCTTTGTGTATTAGAGACCTGTCTTTTAGGCTACACATAAATCTAAAATCGAAATTAAAGAGTTAAACATAAAATGAATATATCAACTTATAAAATTATAATACAAAAGAAATTACTAAAAGTATGATGCGAAATACACAGAAAGTGTAGTAGTTTGCAGTATATTCGATATTTTGACCAAAACAAAATGACAAAATGTTCATATTACATGGTTTAAACAAAATTTTCCCGCGTTCACAAGGTATCGAATCTGAAAAAGCCGATTTTTCACATTCGATAGTTGGAAATGGTAGGGACGATATATATATATATATATATATATATATATATATATATATATATATATATATATATATATATATATATATATATATATATATATATATCTCAAAAAGATATGTAGCAGTCAATGATATTAAAATTGTAAAGAAGCTTACGACAATGGACATTGTAAAATTATGTTGTATAAACAATAAATTGAACTAAATATAGTTAACAATTTTCATAAACTTAGCACAGCAAAAGACATGTGGTAATTGTACATGTACGTAAAAAAATTCATGTAAGAAATTTATATAAAAAAACACACAATTAATGTGCAGAAGAACTAAAAGATCTAAGATGCACTTACAACAGTAAGTCAATAATTAAGATTTAATTTTGCAGGTAGCATTATTGAAATCAATTAAAGATCAATTAAAGATTTAGTAATTTAAAAGTATAATGAAGTTACCACTACAGGCTTCTAGACTGCTGCCGGTGAAATGAAGGCACCTGTTGCCTGCTACATATCTTTTTGAGATGAACTGATGATGCTATCAAATTGGATAGCGAAACGTTATATATATATATATATATATATATATATATATATATATATATATATATATATATATATATATATATATATATATATATATATATATATATATATATATACAAGAAATACTGGATATTAGTGACTGTCAATATAAACAAACAACTCAGTTTATTGGGGTTGCAGTCAGAATATTGGCCGGGATGTTAAAAAAAAAACACTCTTTTGACTTTTTGTCGAGCTTTCGGAATGGTTTTATTCCTTTTTCAAGACACTGTACAAGACAATTATGTAAATATTAAAATATTACAATTCTTCAGTGTAACTTACTAGTCGTTGAGATTATTTTTGTAAGCATTGACACTCAACATTTATACCACACATTAAAATATACAATTATGGACATAATACATCATAAAACACAAATACATTTTATGATGTATTATGTCCATAATTGTATATTTTAATGTGTGGTATAAATGTTGAGTGTCAATGCTTACAAAAATAATCTCAACGACTAGTAAGTTACACTGAAGAATTGTGATATTTTTTAAATATTTACATAATTGTCTTTTACAGTGTCTTGAAAAAGGAATAAAACCATTCCGAAAGCTCGACAAAAACTCAAAAGAGTGTTTTTTTTTAACATCCCGGCCAATATTCTGACTGCAACCCTAATAAACTGTGTTGTTTGTGTATATATATATATATATATATATATATATATATATATATACATATATATAATTGTACTTATTCCTCACTATTAGTTAGGTTTAAGTTATTGGAAAATACTAGTAATACCTCTTTGATTTCAGTCTAGTTGTTTAGGATAAAAATATTATTATAAAAAACAAGAAAAAAATTTAAACTCTTAATGTCACTTTAATTTGTTGTATTAGTTTGTGGCATCCTTTGTATGAAATATATTAAAATGTTTAGAGTCTTAAAAACATTTGACAAAACAAACAAATGACAAAATGTGGACTGTTGATAAATATGTTTTAAAATCTGGTCGAGACAAAAAAGATAAAATACTAAATTTTCAGACATTATTAGAACATGGACTAAATAACTGGGCAATAAATGAAATATGACACACAGAAGACATATAGAAGATTACAAAAAAATTGACCTAAAAAACCTTTAGATATACATAAAATCGAATACAATTTGCAGAGATCAAATAGAATATGATTTTGAATCAAGTTACTTACCTAAATCTGGAAAATATAAAAGATATGGGTATATCCATTAACAACCAGTATTTCCTAATAATATTTGTAGTATCAAGTACATAGACTCCACAACCTGTAATATAAATTAATACAAATTCTTAGTATGTAAAAATATATCCACTGGAATTACCAGCCTTTTTCTTTAAATCGCTAGCTGGTTTAATAATGTTGTTCTTTTGTTCCCTTATTGACTATACTATAGTCCATATAGAGTACATACCCTTGTAAGAGTACATACCTTGGAGCTTTTTTTCCCTAGCTGCTCATGGGACCAAGTATGAATTTCCCAAATAATAATTTAAAAAACTTAAATCCTGCCCTTCTCCTTCTTCAAGTTCCGCTCCTATCGGCGATTGAAAATCATAATAGGTCAATTGCAATTCAGCCAAACCATTCACGGAGGTTGGGTAGTCACAAAATTTTACGTCTTCCTGTGCTTATTTTGCCTTTGATTTTGCCATGCAGTATATTCCTCAAGAGTTCGTATTTTTCACATCTCATAATGTGTTCCAGGTATTCCAACTTCCTGATTTTTATTAAGTTTAAAACTTGATTATTTAAAACTTTATTAAGTTTAAAGCACATTGTTTTCCTAGTTGTTTGAGAACTTGTACGTTTATTTTGCGTCAAGTCCATGAAATTTTCAGAATAAATCAGTAACATCACATATCGAATGCTTCTAGGTTTTTAACGATCGATTTTCTCAGTGTCTAAGCCTCAACTCCATATAAAAAGGTGGAGAAAATATAACATCGTGGAATTTTTATCAGAAGCGTTATATTGATATTGCGATCAGAATTTGTTTTGTTTGATCAGTATCTTCTGTATTTCATGCTCGAAGGTATTTATTCGTATTTAAACCCTCCTCAGTGCTCGGCTAACGCCGAGTTTGAGTCTTCCCTTACTGGTAGCTCCCACAAAGGATTACCTGTTCCTTTACAGGGGTTGCTCCACTAAAGGAGTCGCTGTGCCTTCTACTTCCAATCCTGTGCCTAAGGGCTGCCTTCAATAGGTCCCTTCTCAGCTCATCGGGAGGCAGAAAATAGTTTAAGATCAACTCATTACCGTCACCAGAACACTCTACTGCACCAGGTCTAGACGAAAACAAATGAGCCAATGTAATTGTAAGAGAGGCTCATCTAATCTGTAACATGTAATTTTGCATTGTCCTGAACATTTGCATTAGTATTGGCTGATGTAGTCCCAAGGAGCTTCTCCCTCAGATGTTCCAGAAATCTTAGACTAGTACAGGAGATGTGATGTGAGACAGACTACAAGGCGTATATAGCGGGGCCTTCTAAGAGTCTCGTAATTCAACTACATACAAGTTGTTCAGCCACAAATATATTTAGGAGCTAGATTTAAACTAAAATGAAGGATATCGCCGGTTTTTAGATATGCCCAATTAACCTAAAATATTTAGAGCCTTCACTTTTGTGATTGAATCACTACAACATCCATATTTTAAATATAACCCCCTGTATACTATTATGCATTTTCCACAAGGAAAAAAAATTCCTGTAGCTGGCTGTATACCACGTATCACAAAAAGAGGTTAGTACTATTAATCATGACTATAAAACCATCATTGATTTCACATCTTTTATACCCTAAATTAATAAATTAAAAAGTTTTTTTTTTAATCCCAACACCTAGATTGTTGTTATTTTTTAAAATCATCAAAACTTGTTGAATCTTTTGGCTGTAGTAATACTATGTACAACTAATATAGTTTTCGTTGCATTGACATTCTGTTTTCGTCATCCTTCATAAGTATCTTGTCAATCAGTTCCCAGCTGTTCTCCGCGTGTAGAGGTTCTCTCTCACCGGCTCTGGAACTCGATTCAGCCATGTGTTACCTCTAGTCAAATTTAATTTAATACTGAACATCACAGTTATTTTACAACACAATGTACAATCTTTTATAACTAAATGTAATTTAAAGGGTTTTTACCCTAGTATTTTGGTGGCTCAGGCATTGTGACCTAGTAAGTATAATCATCTTTTGCTTTTCAACCATAGTCAAAATTTCATAATCTCGTTTGTTTTAACTAAATGGTTTATACTTATTTTTAGGCATTTATTTTTCGATTTTAAAACCTGATGGACTGTGGTCCGAAAACGTTTGTTTTATTGATGTAGCCCTATTAAGGGTTTTTTAAATAAATATACCCATTTACAAAGACTATCCTCTTCTTTTTATTATGCATTTTGGTAGAACTATTAAGGATTCTCTCAATATAAGCGTTGATTGAATATCCGAATTAGGATATTCAATCAACAATATAAGGTTATGTTATTTTACACTAAGTGTTTTACAAGATATGATTAATTTTTTTATGAAACAGAGTAAATTTGTAAACATTTCATTTGGTACAAATTTTATTTTAGTATTGCCCATTTTAATGAAATTTCAACATTTTGTGGATAAAATAATATTTAATATACAAAGTGATTCAAATGTAGGTATACTTAAAATTGTCTCAACTTTTTTAAATGAATCATCCTATATGGTATGACGTAATCATAACACTAATTTATTGCTAGAACATGCTTGTCTAGAATTTCAGTAATATATCGTTGAGCATTCAAGGCTCCTCTACCAATAAACACAAGATCATTACAGCCTTTGAATGAAATGCCTACCCAAAACATTTGAGAGCTTCCTCCAAAAGCAACACATGCTTATTGAAGACAATCATCGTTTTCCATGTCTTTTGTATGTTTTGATGCAACTGTCTGAGCCATAAAGAACCATCCTGGACTCATCACTAAACAAAACATTTCTCCAGATTTCTATTATCCAATGCTTGTGGTCTCTAGCAAACTCAAGTAAATGTTGTTGATGTGCTGCTGTTAACAGAGGTCCTGTTGCTGGGCAGAAAGCCCGTAGACCAAATTTCCTTAGCCTTCTTCTCAGTATAGCAGTACTTAATGTCTAACTGTAAGCAGTTTGAAAACAGTTTTGGATTGCTCTAGCTGTAAAGAATTAATTTTGCAAAAATAAGTGCATAGTAAAGGACCATCTTCTCTAGCTGTTGTGATTCTTATTGCATCTGATTGTGGTCACCATTTGTGAGATTTAGTCTCTACAAAACATTGGTTTTTGGACCTTACAATGACTGACTCCAAGCTGTCTGGCCTCTTCTCTTTGACTCATTCCATTATCAATTAAAGTAACAATTTGAACATATCTAGCAAATCTCCCAGGCATAGTTTTAAATTTAAAAATTGCACCAGTTCAATCTTTGAACAACTGTACACTAATGATTTTAATAAATTTAGATAATGAAATTTATTTCAATTAAATTATTTTCTTTTTTTTTCAAAAATTTCTGTGTAATAGAAATAAAACAGACATTGAAAGTCATTAACTGGCGTGAAATGGCCATAGTTAATTTATATGTCTTATTATTTTTCTAACTGTGTATACAGAAATCATAACAAAATCCTAGAAAGATTGGAACACTTTAATATCTGCAGAGTTGAATTGACTGCAAGATTGAAAGTGAAGAGGAAAGTTTGACTAGAATAGAAATTGCATGAAAAAGCTTTATTAACTGGCATTCTGCATTGTGCAGTAGAAGTCTATCATTGACCACACATCTAAGGGGATTGAAGTGTTATGTGTGGTCCACTTTGTTCTATGGATGTGAAACCTGAACAATAAAAATAAAAAATCTTAATAAATTAGAAGTGTTCACAGCACACAGATATAACGAACATGTGCTAGAGACAATGCACAAAGAGTGAGAATTGATAAAAAAAATAAGAAAGGTCCAATACTCTGACCATATAATGAGAGGACCTAAATATTGCTTACCCAGGTTGATTATTCGGGCAAAATCAAAGGAAAATGCTGGGTCAGAAGAAAGCAACTGTCCAGGTTGCATAACATTAGACAATGGACAAGTCGAACAGTCAAGGAATTGTTTCATCTAGCTGTTGATTGAGAAACATTTCATCAGCTTGTTAATATGACCATAGCCAACACTTGAAAACAAGCATGGCACACAAAGAAGATAATGTACAGAAAGTACCAAAGTATCATTAGGGAAACAGTCAACTGTGTTATTTGAAGTAAAAATAAAAAGGGATTTTTGTTACACTCTTAAGCAGTTTTTTAGAAACAGGTGTACATAAAACAGGTTCCTAAGCCAGTAATATTTTCAGCTATTTATTCTATTAGTTAACTCTTTATAAACTGTGATACTTTCAGTTTTCTATTGTAACACATATCAATTGAAATAAATAATCATTAAGTATATTGATTTTCAACATAACTATTAACAAGACTAATACAAACCTCTAGGTAACTTGTTATCTAGGATAAGGTTAGCTATTGCATAGTATATGCTACAGTGATTGTTATGAAGAGATACTCCATATCTATCAAATGTTACAAGTGTTGTAATATTAAGAGTCTCTACATAATTTAAGACAATATCTGATATCACATCTGTTGGCCATCGCACATCCATTGCATCAGGAAGAAGAGTATGATTATGAATAAATATATTCTCAGAAGGAATCCCTAATTCATAACAAGAATTATATAGTTCTTGTTTCCTTATTAAACCCATCCCATAGTTTCTACCTAAAAATTATTTCATTTTAGAGGAAACTTCATTTTAAAATATCAGTATATAAAAAGATGAGTGATAATAGTAGAGAGGATAAAGTTGAAAATAGTGCACTTTAAAACAGGTTGCTTTTTAAACCCTTGGATGATTCATAGGTATGTATTTTAGTAATATTAGTCTACTTTTATTAAGAGGCAATTCATTAAATAAGTAATGATCTCATTTTAGTATTTAATTTCAGCAACATAACCCAACATTTGGTTGTGCAACCACTACAGTATACCCACCAGTAGATAAGCACAATATATACACCAGGCAGTCTTTTTTTCTGGTAAAATTAAGAATGGTGGGCCCAAAAAACATGCATTCATCATCAGGGTGGGCGATCACAAATAAAATTCTTTTTGAATTCTTTGGTTCTCGATTGAAATTCACAATACCCCAGGCTTTTATACACATATATAAAAATATACATGTTACTATGTAAAATAAACTTGCTAATATTAAATGCTCCACTGTGTCTTTAAGATATTCCAAGATACTTGTAAATAAATCTGAACAAAAGTCTATTAAATCTTGCTTGAACCAAACGTAAAGCGCAACTAAGTTCTTTGGAAGCATGGAGCGCTTTATTCATTTCAAATGAGGGACAAATTTATAAATAGATTTTTCTACATTCGTTTTATAAATAGTACTTTAAAATTTTCAACAAAAATCAAATATGAAATTGACGTTTTGTTTTGAAAGGTTACATTATTCCTCCCTCTTCTGTATTTTCTTCTCTATTGAAACTTTCTTCTCTTTCGAGATCTGATTCTGTTTTCTTATTCTACGTTTATCTATTGAAATAACAAAATAGTAGTAGCTTGATGTATTTCTTAAAGAAACTACGAAAGTTAGGGAAATGATAGTAATAGTAATTTTAAGTTAACTAATCATATAATAACTAAGCTATAATCATATAATAATGGGTTACGTCATTGGGTCAGTATTTCGTATAATACGTCATCACAGAATAATAAACAAACAGAATACCCACTCTCCACGGAAAATTAAGTACGCGCATCTCCTCCGCGCAGACGTTCCGCCATGTTTTAGGAGGATTTTAAAGAAATTAGTGTTGTTTATGTGGTGTGCATGGAAAAATTAACCAGGTTTATTTGACTTACGGCAATCATAGACATACTATACAATTATATTAACATTGTTAAATATAATAACATAAATATAATATAATTAAACATAAATATAAACAATTACATAACCACACAAATCATATGTCTGTGTCCTCCTAAAACATGGCGCGCGTGCTGAAAAACTTCAAAGGCGGCATCTGAGAGTGGCCCTTCTGTTTGTTTATTATTCTGTGACGTCATTGACAACGACAGTAGACAGTTGAGAAAAACCCACGGTCACATACGTCAACGTCACTTTGTCACTTATCACTTCCGTTGAAATGAAATTTCATCATCACATTTCCGTCGTTTGTCGTATTAAGAACGTTAGGTAGACATTTTGTTTATGGGTGTTTGGAAAAGTAAAAAGGGTAACGGTCGATGTACTTACATCTACAGTATCAACATGGGGTCTACTAAAAGTGATACTGTTAGTAATACTGTAAAAAGTACACCAAAGCCGTATGGTAAAGTCATATTAACACTAAAAAATCAATTGCTTCCTGAAGAAAAACTTTCTCCTACACCCTCACAATTAGACGGACTTGGGCTTGAAACTGAAACAGATTTGCGTATTTATGGATGTGAATTAATTCAAACGGCTGGTATATTATTAAAATTGCCACAGGTATGTTTGTTTCGTCACATTTTGTTGATAATCCTATAGACTGCAACTTCTATAATTTTTGTTTATTGAACCCAATTTCTTAATATATTGATAAAATCGTACACAGGTTCAGAGGGTTTCAATTTTCACAAACTGAGTACATTTATTTCTCTTGTACAAAATACAAAAATTGTTCATTGAGTAAAAAACTAGTTAGGTTTACCTAATCCTGTTCCTCAAATAATTAAAAGCTAAGAAAGACCCTTAAAAGTTTGGAATTTACAATCTTAACATTAAAACAAGATTTAAGTGTTATTTGATTGTCCTATCAAAAGGTCTAGAAATTTAATTTAGTTAATTTGATATTTAAGTGAGATAGTTGAATAATTGTGGACAATAAATATATAAGGAATGAGATCAAGAACTGAATAAGATAAGAACTTAATAGAAGAATAACCACTCATATAACTAAAGATGCAGTATTAGGTTTAGATCAGACTGTATGTTCCTATATTTGATAAAGAATTTTTCTGTTTAGTGTGTATGGAATGGAATGTCAATTTAGAAATAAACACTAACTTACTTACCTATTTTACAATAAAATGTACTTTACAGAAGTAGAACAAAAATGTACTTAGTAGACTAAATTTGTAACATTACTGAACTTTTCAGACTTTTAGTTTACTTGTGTAAAGAATGCATAGTTTTTAAATATTTTAAGTACTAAATATATTGTTATGACTAAAGCATATGGATGATATTTTTAAAGTTATGCTACAAAAATTACTTTCCAAACATATTTAGATTTTGTACAATATTTGTTTAACATTTTTTATGCGGATGTATGAGCTAAGGTCTGCTTGCCATTATGTTAAATTTAGTATTAAAAATATTGTATCTACAAATTAGATTATGTGCCAATTCAGTACTCAAAATAATGAAATATTAACTAAAAGTTGTAACGATATATTTTACTTACCTCAGGGTAAGAACATGGAGGTAGAAGGTTGGGAACAGAAACTACTGGGGGTAGAGGTAGGGCAAACAAAATAATTGAAACTGGTGCATACCACACTCAGGTGGTTGTTGGAGAGCTGGGTTGTGGAGAAGTTGAAATAAATGGGTTGGATTGGAGTATATACAAAATGAAAACAAAGGGATACTTACATAAATCTCCTGGGTCAAAAACGAACAAGATATGGCAGATAAGAATTACCTCTAGCTATTTTCTTTTTCGGGACCCCGCTTTGAGAAAAACTTCCTGCTGGAAAGAGAAAGTTTCTTCTTCCGTAAAATCAAGAATACATACAAGGATTAGGAGACTTTTCTAAATTAAAATAAAAAAGTGGATCAGAGAAACAAATCAAACATGTATTTTTGTCTCAAACAAACAGTTATCAAAAATACAGATTGTACAAAAACATATTATATAACCATAATACAAAATTAACAAAAATCTATGTGTTATCTGTTTACAAAGGAGATTGCTACAAAAATTTTCGAAATGGTTCCTAGGTTATCTATTAATAGGGCCAATTAAGGACATCCTTGTAAAAGAAAATATCTTGTTTTGAAAATATAAGTTTAACCTTATATATGAAATATCTTTTATATCTAATAATCAAATTAAAATTGTTTAAAACAACAACGGATTAGAGCCAAAATGTCATATGTCAACACAACATTTTAAGACAGAATAAATTATGACATTTTTTAGACACGCTTCTAACAATATAAAACTTTAATTATTACAAATGTTTAATAATGAAAGCAATTATTAAAAATAATGTCTATTTTACTTGGAAAAATTAATATATTAAATGTTAACTTATTTCACATATTGCACTTAATAAAACAAAACTTGTTACATCTTTGGAGTATCTATCTGGACATATTCTCAAAACTGGAACAAAAGGAAACCATTTCCATACTCAGGTACGACGATCTAAGACGTAAATCAGGTTCGGTGGAGGAAGCAAGCTGATAAACAAAACGAAAGCTGGTGGGGACATCCTATATACTGCTTTTCAAAATTCTATTAGTTTCGGTGTACTGCACAAATCTTATGGTTTTTACTCTATTCTAAACTGCCACTATTGCAAAAGAGTATTATCCAACCTTTCAAGGTTCTTAAGACATAACACAAAAAAAATGAATCGACTCTGGATTCAAAATTGCCAGAACATCTTTCTAGTCTGAATGCTCTTACTTCACTGACTATCCTGCAGTTTTACAAATTCAATGCCAAAATAAATTCCCCTTACATCTTGCAGCCAGTTTGTGGTGTACAAACTTAAAACAAGCATAATATCCTCGACAACTGTTTATAACAACCTTGAAATATTCCAAGCTTTATTGCGTTGTAGAAAAATTGAATACCTGACTTGCATTATTCTTTCTAAGAACCTCTTTTTCAACCAGAATATTAGGGGTTTGGATGTAAACAAATTGTTTTCAACAACAAAAACAACTATATTTTGCCTATATTGTCAAAAAAAAATTGAAATATTCTACTTTAAAATAGTTAGAAATAACAACGAAATGGGGGATTTTGAATGTAAATAAAGACAAAAATATTCTCAGCGTTATTACATATTTAAGAATCTTAACTTAACATGCCATAATATATTGGTTGTTTTCCTGGTAATTTTTAATGCATACCGATGAAATAAAAACTCAGAGGCATACTACAAAATTTAAAACAAAATTTGTATTATTAAATAGATATTAAATATAAAAAGCTACTGAGGTTTTTCTCAACTGATCATAACACTTTTTTAAACAAATTATTATTCATTTGTAAAAAGTTTTTATCTGGCAAAGGGTCTTCTACTAATAATTCCCCATTCAACATATCTAATATTCCTTTGCATAACCCCCTTCTCTTGATCTATTTTTTCTCCACATACACTTTTTTTAAGTAGTGTATGATTTTTTTTTCTTAAGCATCATTATTACAATTAGAGCTACTGCACATAATTTTAACTTCTTTTGCACCATAATTATTTACCTGTGTGTTTTGTTTACTCTGATCACAAAAAACAAACTTCATTTTTAGGTTATCAACACAAAATTGGTAAAGCGCATGCCTACATGCTAATTAAAATTATGATAGTTGCAAACAAACCCACATTTTTCATACTAAATCAACTCATGTAACTAACTAATATTTTTAGTACTGGAATAGTACTGAAATTAGCATAATGCCAAGCAAACCTAAGACTATAGTTATGAGCTGAAACTTATTTTTCTTTTCGTTAGAAATGCATACATCCCATAGCATATTGGGCTAATCCATAATCAGACCCCCTCCTTATTTCCAAAGTATCAAGTCTGCTGTCACATCCTACTATGCTGCAGTTTACATTGTATTAGATAGAAAAGTTAGGTTTTTCTGTCAAAATGTTGTTTTCTAATGAAATATTACATAATATCTATGAAAAAATTCAATTTTCTTAGAAAATTTGATATTTTAATTGTGCTGTAATTGGATGCAATAGGAAAAGTTCTATAAAAAAGGCCTTATGTTCTATTTTTTACCTGTTGCAAAAAAAAGATTCAGTGGTTTTAGCTGATTTCTTAATTTGTATTAACTGAAAGAACTTACTATATGACAGAACCATAAATAATATTTTATGTATTTTTTTTTGCTGTAGCTTGGTCATTTTACACATCAACATAGGACATGGTACATAATACTGTTTATTATTAATAATATAATTAACCAAACTCAGCTTTTTAGCCTTATCTTTGTTTTATTTGTTTGTGTTTATATTTTGAAAAAATGGATTTTGTAAATCTGTTATTACTCAATGAGGATAATTATGTTTAAATTTTAATACTATTTTCCAGCCTTTTAATTGATTAATTGTCTTTTTAATATCAAAATAATCAGTTAAAACCACTGAACCTTTTTTTTGATCCAATAAACCATGTGGTATAAGGTATTTATGTACCTATATGACTTTTACTGTTGCATACAATTACAGCACATTTAAAATTTTTAGCAGTTGATTTTTTTCATTGATAGTATGTATTATTTCATTAGAAAACTTTTCTATATATTACAATGTAAACTTCAGCAGAGTAGGACTCAATGGCAGCCATGAAACTTTGGCAATGTGCAGGTGGGGTGAGTAATAGTTATCCCAATATTTGAGCTATCTGTACATTAGTAGAGGCACAATGTGGCTCACATATATGTGAGCTCCATCCACATGTAAAGTGTTAAATTGAGTATTTAAGAAAATATTAAACTATATATTTTTTTAATTAGTTCAAATAATATGTTAATTTACATGTACATACTTGATAACTGAAAGTATTAATATTATATTACTCTCTTACTATATTATAACTTTCCTTAAGAAATCTTATATTTAGTCACTTAGCTAAATATTGCCTTTGTAAATGTGTAAAGTAACTTTCCAAAAAAGGTGACTTTTCTGAAAAAAACATGTAAAAATTGGATAAAATTAATATTATTCTTGTAAGTGATAACAACTTTATATTTCAATATATTCTGAATATCTACACCAAGTAATAATTTACTAAAATTCCAGTTAAATAGAATTTATTTTCATATATCCTTGTTGTTTAAAAACTTTTCTATTAATATTTCCTTTTTATTTACTGCCTAGTAGATAAGCAGTTATTAATAAATTTGGCCGATATATTTTAGGTTGCCATGGCTACAGGACAAGTACTCCTGCAGAGATTTTACTACTCAAAGAGTCTTGTACGCCATCCTGTTGAGCATACTGCAATGGCCTGTGTTTGTTTAGCTTCTAAGATAGAAGAAGCTCCAAGGAGGGTTAGAGATGTAATAAATGTCTTTACCCACATTAGACAAGTCAATTCCAATAAGTAAGTCTAATTTTCTTCTATGTAATAAAGTTTAACACATTAGACATGCACTATTTTCATTTAGATAAACACACCATGATCATTGTTGAGAGCTTTATTATTAAATACATACCATTTGGTAAATCTGATTTTTCAATATGTGTTCCTATTAAAGTATATTTAAACATTGTTTTAAAAATTATAATATGATATGATATACGCATTTTGTTAAGATTTTTGTATTAAAGGTGTAAGTGTAACATAAAAATATAATCAATTTCAATCATATCTTACCTACTATTCAACAAAAAAACAAGTTCCATTTTTAAGTTTACATCATTTATGACATTATTTTACTACAGTATTTACTGTGATTTAGTTTAATGGTTTTTATTGTTTTATCTTAGCTTTCATATTTACTTTCTCTGGATTGTAGTTGATTTACTTCTGAGTTGTTTCACATGTAGCTGAGATTCAGGCTTAACTGGCTTTTAAATGCAAGGCATTTTATTTTCACTGAATGTAAATTATTTTAAAAAGCTAAGTGGAAGGAAATTCCTTAGAATGCTAAAAACTAATAGGCTGTCAAAGTGTCAACAAAAAATATTTATGTAAATGTTAAGAATGAATAGTTCTATAATCTTATTAGATGTTTCAATTTAGAGAGTTTGTGAAAAATGGAGTTGTGAATATAGGCTGATTTTTCAGTTTTTTCTAATGGTTACACAATAGATAGAAAGAACTGTGTGATTTTGAATCATTTTATTACTTGATATTTACATCTTCACTAAATATTTTATAATTGAGAATAAAGCTCAATGATTTCTAATATTTTTTTTTGTTTTGTTTTGATATTTGGTTTTCAATCCAAAAATAATTTTCAAACCATTCTGAAATAAAATTGACATAGAGCTTATATATTTTTCACAATTTTATATCAGGATTTTTTTTTTGAAAATGATGTCAGGACTGGAAATTGCAATGTTAAAACAAAAAATGTAATTTTTTTTACAATTCATTGTGGGTTATTCTCATGCATAGAATATTCAGTTAAAACTTTCCTAAGAAAATAGTTTCAGAACCATACTCATTCATTAATCATAATTCTTGTGACATGAATATCTATATTAACTGTTAGGAGGTAAACTTTTTACACATTGTGAGAATATGTGTTTTCCTGAAGACATTAGAGTATCTCCCTGCTTATTTAAGGCCTTCCCAACAAAAAATTTCAGATATTCAAGGTATGGTTTTTTTTTATTATTTTTAGAAACATTTTTAATTAACTTCCTGTGTATTGTTGTTCTCATGTTTTTTTTAATATTTCAGTATTGCAGCTTTTTTTTTTCAAAGGGTTTTATATCATATTTTATAGTTTTAAAATTTTTACTATTACGTGTATGCAATGTCTGTTGTCTATATAAGTTAAATTGATGTTAATATTTACCAAATGGTTTGTGTCAAACTTGCTCTTGCAATTTATTTCAGTCAGCTTGAACTCTACTCTAAAAACTTAACCTGTGGTTTTCTAAGAGATCTAGGATATGATTCTATTAGTGAAAGACTGAAGCAAAATTTTATTTTTGCTAGTTTTTACTTTGTATAACCAGCAAAATGTTAAGGTAAATATTTTCTTAAAGAAATTAGTATTTGTGAGCAACACTTAAATAATCTCAGTACTAAAAAGTGTTAATTAAAGCCACATAATGTTGTCATAAGCTTGTTTAATATACATAATAGTCAAGAGTATTATGAGGGTATATATTATTTATGCCTTATATGGTTTTTCAGAAGAAAATATTAAAAATATCACTTACGTGATGTTGACATACTTTATTCTAATGATGTATTATAGAAAAAATCTATTGTTTTATAATATCAATAGATTTTAGTTACCATTATTGATAAAATTTAATTGGGTAATATTGTTGATAATAATTTTTACTGACCTAAACATATTTAACAGTCTGTACTTCTAGTTCTACATATATTTTTATTTATCGAAATAATTCCATTTTTGGTTTTTCTTTATGACTCTTATGAAAAACAATACTTAACCTCAATTGTTAATTTACAGAGGCTCCAAAAATGGCTCAAATGGGCCTCTGTGTCAATCTTCATGTGTGTGGAACATTTTTGGCCACTAGACATGAATAGAACTACAAATATATACCGTCTTCCTCCTAATTTGACGGTATTGATGAGAATTTATACAAATAAAACTCCCAACATTTTTTGGATTCATAAGATATTTTAATTTACCGCACTGGAACAACCCAAAGAGGAATATAAGAGGAATATTTATATTTATTTACTGCAAATAAGGTAATGTAAGGTTCTTTTTTATTATATACGTATGTTCCTGATGTTGAACTGATGATGTTAAATAGGAGTTTATATATATATATATATATATATATATATATATATATATATATATATATATATATATATATATATACAGAATGATCACAGCTGTCTAATTATTAATTAGTATACTGGTAAGGTTGATTGGGTTAGTAGCTGAATAATGAAAGCCAAAGTGTGCTCTTTTCAACGATTTCGTTATATTTCGTTAAATTTCTTTAACATCTTCAGACGAATGCTACAATATGTTACTGTAGCATTCGTCTGAAGATGTTAAAGAAATTTAACGAAATCGTTGAAAAGAACACACTTTGGCTTTCATTATTCAGATGCTAACCCAATCAACCTTACCAGTATACAAATTATATATATATATATATATATATATATATATATATATATATATATATTTATATATATTTATATTTATATATATTTATATATATATATATATATATATATATATATATATATAATGAACGGCAAAATTATGGAATATTATCAATATTCCAACAACTGTCAAGTTTTGAAGGAAATCCCGAAACAGGTCCATTTTTGTTATAAAATACCTATGTTATAACATACATGGAGTAGGGATGATGTTACCAGTGTAGGTGTAGTGACGTAATAGTTAATTTTTTAAATAGAAATCGGTATAATGCAACACCTTATTTAAACGAGAATTTAATTCTCTATTTAATGACATTACATTTTTAACTAAAATATTTTTTTAAGGGTACAAAAACAATTGTTTTTAATTTAAATTCAACTAAATTACAACTAATGATTTAATTAATAATGTACTTTAAAGTAACCAAATTATGCATAATAATTATTTTTAAAATAAAATTTTTTGAAATGCCATCCATTGGTTTCTTGACAATATGCGAATCTATAGACAAATTCATCATGTACATTGCGGATGACTTCTGGAGTAATTAGACAGGTATAAGTTAATTTCTCAAAAAAGTTTAATAACGTTCTCCTGTTAGATTTTCTTAAAAGAAAAAAGGGCCAATAATTCTGTCATTAAGGATCCCTGCCCATACATTTACTTTCTGAAGTTATTGTGTGTGTGACTCAGTCATCCAATGTGGGTTTTCTTGACTCCAATATCTGCAATTTTGACGATTCACGGTACCATGTATAAAAAATGTGGATACATAAATCCTGCATAATTTCAGAAAATTGAAGCCGGTGATCGAGATTGTCGTCGTTTAATTCCTGACGTAGTTGAATTTTGTAGGGATGTTTTTTTTTTTAAATACGTAATACCGATCGTTGGGAAACTCCAGCATATTCACCCATTTGTGTTGAATATCAAGTTTCACATTGTCTTCAATTTTAGGACGCCCAGCGTTTGGAATATGTTTAATGTTCCCAGTTTCTCCAAATTTTCGGACTATTTTAGTTACTGTTGATTGGCTGATGGGTCTGAATATTTTGCGTTGAATAAATTGTATACCTCGTTCTGTGTTCTTTTTTAAGAATTAATATTTCTATGCTTTTTGTTTCATTTAGGTGAGCCATAATTTAGTATTCAAAAGTAAAAAATTACAATTTACAACTGATGACAATTCACAAAATCAAAACATTTACGTCAATAAATATTTCAGTAATTATGCCAGTAACACTTGCTTGAATTAACATTTGACAAAAAGTTTTAGCGTTTATGAGACAACTTTTTGCTATATGATATGCTCTATGATAAAAACATAATTATTTTTACTTTTTTTGCTTTTTTAAGTATTTACTTTAGAAAGTCATGGCAGGAACCGATGGATGGCATTTCGAACATTTAATTTAAAATATTTGTTATGCATAATTTGGATACTTTAAAGTACATTATGAATTAAATCATTAGTTGTAATTTAGTTGAATTTAAATAAAAAAAATTTTTTTTGTACCCTTAAAAAATATTTTAGTTAAAAATGTAATGTTGTTAAATAGATAATTAAATTCTCCTTTAAATGAGGTGTCGCATTATACCAATTTCTATTTAAAAAAATAACAGTTATGTCACTACACCCATACCGGTGACGTCATCCCTACTCATGTACGTTATAAGATAGGTTTTATACCAAAAATCGATCTGTTTCAGGATTTCCCTCAAAACTTGACGGTTCTCGAAATATTCCATAATTTAGCTGTTAGATATATATATATAACTATATATAATAATATATAACTATATGTAACTATAGATATATATATTTCACTTTATATAAAACACTAGTTAATATTACAATTATTTATTACTATTCAGCATACTGTTTGTTAACTATGTGTCCTTCTATAAGAACTCTTTCTTTTTTTTTTTTAATTTCAAGATTGTATAAAGTTTTATCCATAATTCGAGTAACCACATATTCCTTATATGGAAAAATACGATTTAGGCCAACTCACTGTAGTTATTGACCTTTAAAGGACAGAGAGGGTCCAAAAAATTGTTTTTTTAAACTTTGAAAAAATTAAAAATTTTACCTATTTTTGTGTAAACTTTTTAAAAATAATTATCTTGAGTAATCAAAAATATCTATAGGGATGGTGAACTATGTACCACCAGACATCATAGAACACATACAACACAAGAAATGTGGACACACATTTCTGTATGATGCATGTCTGAGAATGTGCTGGTATACTGTCTCCTT